CCGCACCCACAGGTACCCACCCTCCCCCAGGGCTCCTTCCCCACGTGATTAGCCAGCTGCTTCAGACTCCACACACAACCATTCTCATTTTGGGAGTAGTTGGTGACGTGGCCGGGGGCGGGGCCGGGGGCGGGGAAGTCCCCTGCAACCCCCACCCCCGGGCACCTTCGGAAGCGGTCAGCTGCTCTACGTCGTACCTGGCTCCGAGTACAACCACAATAACGGTTCCCGTGTGGGTAAGGGGGAAGGGGCGGGGAGGGGAATTCCAAACACATACAGCGCACGCACACGAAATGTGGAGACCTAAAAGCAATAAGGGCTGGCTACGGATTTGTGCTACCCTCTCTCCCCTCCCTTCCCCCCACAAACAACATTCACCCCGTTGGCAGCCACCCCCTCCTGAAACCAGGTATGTATGTATGTGTGTGTTTTATTGGCCTTGAAGAGATCCCGCCTCCCCTTTACACCTCCTCCACCCGTCAACTCTCCCCCCCCCCCCGCAACCCCAGCAAACCCCTGACGCGCTTACACACATACACACATACACACATACACACACATACATACATACACACATACATACATACATGTATGGATGAGACCAAGCTTGACTAAGCTGCTACTATGACCGTCGGCCAACCGCGGCCGTGGCCACCGACAGCGACCTCAATTGTTTGAGCGTAGTTATGGTTATCTAATTAGCCTGAAAATGTCGCAGAGGCGACCAGCAGTGGCTGTTAGCCGCGGCAATGTTCAAAATGGCCGCCAGCCGACCTCAGCCGCGAGACCGCAATCCATACCGACCAAAAAGATAAAGGCCGTCAGTGGCTTTTACGGAACAAATGAAGGCTTGGCTTTCTACAGAGCCACACTAGAACTGGAACCGATCGTGGTGACAGTCCGGTGGCCAGCGGGCTCAGATACGGGCGACATCATCGCGCAAATATACGGTCCATTAGGACTTCAAATTCTGGCAACAATTGGCCAAATCTTCCGCAGCAACCAGGAGTTCAACCGTTGGGGAGGCCCTCGCATTCAAAAACGGTTGCTTTATCCGATGGGAAGGGAACGGCACATTGTGATGGAACTCTCC